AGTATTACAACTAAAACCGTTTTTGACGCCGCCACCGCAGTTTGTCCTTCATGAGCCTTCGTAGGCAAGATGGCGGTGCAAGATGGCGGCTGCCTGTACTGGTGACCCGTGACCATGGAGATATAAACAGCTTTTTATAAGGTAAAAATAATAAAACAAGGTTTTTGTCTGCAATGATTAAACATGTTTTATATTACTGTCATTAATGATTATCTCAATTTCGGCTAAAAGAATTGACAAAATCCTACACACTGTACCTTTAATGGAAAACCATCTAAATATCTTGCTTTTAATTTCACATTAAACATAAATGTATTTTCTAGGCACAAAGTGCAGTTCTATACCACAAGTACGTAAACGTTTGTTTTAGAGGTTATAAAAATGCTGTATATATCAACAATAAATTAGAATTTGCATCATAGCCTATCTAAATGCCTTGAAATTGGCCTCTGTCTCTATAAGGAACCTCCTACTGTTTCTGACACTCCCACTTCAGCACATCTTCACAACAATCCTTCAGGGGAGGGGTGCTCTGCGGCAGGAGCTTGGCTGCAGACTGACCTCCAGGGAGGAGCTAGGAGCAAATAGGCGGTGCTTTGTACCAGCAAACATTTGGGCAGCTCCTCGTGGTTACCACAGGAGATTCAAGGATTTCTCAAACATGCATGAATGAGTCAAAGCAACACTCTGGGTATGCTTTTATGACAGAATGAAATTATATCATAATTAAATAATAATCTAAAAAGTTGATTTTGCATAATTACCCCCCCGATTAAAACTGTAGCGAGACATCGTAGAGAGTTGTGTGAATGGGTACATGAGGGCACAGATTGCAAAGTGCTTGAGTAAGGGGTCTCTGCAGTAGGTTTTGTAATGTGGGCGGAGACGGCCCTACTCGTGATTGGCGGAGGTTTCGATGTGGGCGGAGATGGCCCAAGAGATGTGATTGGTCGGATTGAAGGTGGAGTTTGAGGAGGCTGGGGACAGCGGGGAGTAGCTTGAGTCAGGCAGGAAGCAACATGTTATAATTTTAGTCATAACTTGAGAAAGGAAAGTGCTAGCTGCACAAAATTTGAACGTCACACATGTGAAAGGATGTGTAACAATATGGCTTGTAAAACATAACCAGCCTGTAAAAAGATTGCTAAAAATCAATATTTTTTACAGGCTGGTTAAGGGTGTTTTTACCAAGTCACATTGTCACACATCCTTCCACATGTACGACGTTCAAATTTTGTGCAGCTAGCACTTTCCTTTCGCAAGTTATGACTAAAATTAATCTAAAAAAATACATGAGAAAATGTGAAAAGCTCTGACATCTGGGAGGAAAAACTCAGAGGAGACACTACTTCTCAGAAAGAAGTCGGCTGAGGTGGTTTGGGCATCCTGAGAGCACTTCCATTGTAAGGAGATCCAGAAATTAAGTAAAAAACTATATATTCTATCAGGTCTTGGAATGTTTCTGGATCTCCTAATAGGGGCAGAAAAACGTCCCTGTGGAGGATGTCTGATGTTGACATGACCTGACCGGGGAACTGCGCTGTATCGGATCTAGAGAAAAAATATTTTTCCACACAGGTTATTTGTCACTTTCAATAAACTTTTATGCACAACACAAGTCTCTTACAGCAAAAACATTTTTACATAAAAACACATGGTGAAATAAGTCCTTTTTAATGAGAGTAATGGCAGACACAAGCCAGATTACATCAGTGTATTACTTGGCTCAGGGGAGACGTTTCTCGGGACAAACAATACAATCGAATTATTTACTCTGTTTCTCAGCTCAAAATAAATCCTAGATCCTAGAACAGCTGTTCAAACCTTCAAAGTGTCTTTAGATAACCTTACTAATGCTGAATTACAGCTGAGATACAGATGTCAACAGTTAAACAAAGGAGAGCTTTCTAAAGCTGTGATTTTAGAGGATGAGTGTCCAGTCAGAGTAAACACAGCATGTCCTCTTGACAGTTTGGTATGAGCAAGCAGAGGAGAGAGGAATGCAGCTCAAGCAGTGCTGCTGAAACTCCTCACCAAGAAAGGCACTGACACCAAATGGTCTTTCGTTTGCACTTTTCGCCTGCTGCACATCTTGTTTTGAGGTCTTGATAAACTTTTGCACTTTAGTGAGCAAAATGTCTAACTCACTAGAATAGTTTAGGTAAGCATTATTTGAAGAGGTTAAATGTGTATCAAATGGATGTTCCCTGTCCTTAAATAAAAACAGGATTCCTTTTGTCTTGACTACCAAATACAAATATCTGTCCCATTTTATAAGTGTGACAATGATAACCAACCTTTCTGCCAGTGGAGGATGAGTAAACTAAGATCTTGCAGGGATCACAAGCAAGAGCAACAATGGAGGAGCATGGAAAGTTCAAGAAATACCAAGAATTTAAACATTACAAATGAGAAGTTGTGGAAACTTAGCACCTCAGTGGTGCAAATGATCATCAGCACAACTGTTGCTGTGACCTGCAAACTATACAGAAGATCCTAGTTCAACACCAATGACATAGTTGAGTGTTTAAAAGACACAAATACTATTTTTTTGGCATGACACAGAAATAAATATGTATTTAAAAAAACAAAACACAAGGTGCTCTAAAAAATAGGTAATCCAGAAACCTAAATTTTGCAACACAACTATTGTTTAGTCTTGGCCAAATGTCAGTTTGCATAAGGAATAATCTAATTATTTTAATCTTCAAAGCAGTCATAATGTTTGTTTCACAGTTACTCCTACAGTTATGAGAGCCATTTTCTGTTGAGCTTTAAGTCCCTGTTACTGAGATAGCAGGGGGACAATTTTACATAACACTTTAGGAGGCATGATTTACCAATCTGGCCAAGTTGGTGATGCTACCCAAATCATTAATGGCTCACAAGGGAGTGTTTAGTTCTCTAGGTGAGGTTCAAAAATTGTCCCGATTTACAAGAACAGGAAAAAATCACCTAATTTCTGTAATGACTAAAGTAGTCCACCATTACCAACTGACGCTGAGTTGCAAACAGGCTTGTTCAGAATCAGAACTCTGTAATTTACCAGTGACACATGCAGCTTGTTTCTTGGTGCTACCACCCAGACCATCAGAACATAATCACCTGCTCAGTTCTTTATGACGTATTTTACACTACTCTTGGTGTAAAAGCACTTTTTATGTTTGCAGAACTTTATCATCTTAGTTTTTTTTGCTAATTAAACTAAAGAAATTGAATATATATA